CGCTACATCTGATAGAGGGTGTAACTGTGAAGGCATATTTAACACTCCTGACAAGATACTAAATGGCGACAACTGCTGCGCAGGTTAAATTTTTCATGCTGTCTGCTTTCCGTTTTCTGCCTATATGTAGATAATGATGTATACTCTCCGTTTACGTTAAGGGTTTAGATTTTAGGGATATATTCAAGTTTGGCTGAACAGTCCTAGCTCTTGAATGCAGCAGTTAGATCATCCTCAACAACGGGTCAGCAAGTACCTCCCAAGTCTAACGATTGTAATGGTAAGAATGTCTGCAATAAAATTCTACAACATATTTGTCATTTTACTTTACAATTGTCGTAGACACTTATTTCTTTTGTTGACCAGTGAAGCTTAGCATTAAATCCTTCAAGGTTCCAGAGCTCTTTATTGAAGTTCCTACAACCGCAACTGTTGGTTCGTTGAAGGTTTGTATTATTGCCATTTTTGATCTGCTGATACGTCAATTTTGCTTGCACTTTGTTCTCTAGGCCTAGTTCTATCTTTTGAGGGGATGGGGGTGGTTAAAAATACAGTGCGGTCTTTCCAATTTCATATGCAACATCAGGTCAAATGAAATGTGTTACAACCGAGCGATTGAAGGTTACTTCAATTTATGTCGTACAATTTTTCAACATTATTTTGATACTTCTTAAGCTGGATAAATTAAGCATGGCTGTCATAGATGATTATTTCTTACACCGAGCAAGGTTGGTTAGGTGGAGTGTATAGTTTCAGCCCTGGTTTCTACTTTTGGGAGCACTAGTAGCGGAAGTAGGGAGGCATTTTGCTTTTTTTGGTTCATAGCTGGAACTTAACTGTTAAGTTATGATTAAGAAGATGCAGAAGGTATGCAATCTTTATCTATCTTAAAATCTTTCCGTTAACGTAGTTGATGAGGCCTCTTAATTGTGTTGGGGAAGAAAAATAGATCCATTATTGGGTTCAAGATATCTCATTCAATCATTTTGTCTAGATTTAACTGGTGATATCTGATTAGGTAATTTTTCTGCAGAGGACAGTAATGGAGGCAGTAACGTCTATACTCGGAGATGGATTACATGTTGGCATCCTGGTCCAGGGAAAAAAGGTCAGAGATGACAACAAAACTCTACTGCAGACAGGGATTTCTCAGGATGACAAGCGACATAATTTGGGTTTCATCTTGGAGCCCAAACGGGCAAAGCTTACGTATCCTCCATGCAGTGAAGATCCATCTTTGGTATCTGGCAGATCTCAGGAGTTAACCAGGTGATCACATAATAAGTGTTAACTTATGAATTGAATCATCATACTCGTGCCCCAGTATGGTAGCTCACACTCGCAATTACTTCCTAGTTTTCGATCTTAGGTTAGGATTAATCTCGTTGCTTATCTTTATGCGAGTATGTTTTGTTGTCAGGCATTCGGCATCTTTGGTGTCACAACCTGGGACTTCAGATGTCTCGATGAGTCCTCCAGTACTAAGTTTGGGTGGCTGCATTGAAAGAGACTTCAAGGAAGTTCCTTCTCTTGCTAGTACTTCAACTGACAAAACCCCGCCAACATCCCAAGCCCTCGTTGCAGTTCCACCAATTAGCATGAAGGCATTGGCTGTGGTTCCTTTTCATCGGAAATCTGGGCATCAAGAGTATGTACAGCGCCGAATCAGGAGACCTTTCTCTGTTCCAGAAGTAGAAGCATTGGTTCAGGCTGTTGAGAAACTTGGAACGGGAAGGTTGGCTTGAACTTTGATTATACTTTGCTATAGTTGAGAAAAACTAGTACCATGATGCAGATTGTGAGAATTTTCTTCGATTGCAGGTGGCGCGATGTTAAGTTGCGTGCTTTCGAAAGTACAAAACATCGAACTTACGTGGATCTGAAGGTGAGTGTTTTATTTGATAATTATTTAGCTGAAGCTTAAATGGAATGGCGTTCAACGCTGTTGTCATCTCAACAATATTTGGAAAATTGGGATGGTGCAGGACAAGTGGAAAACGTTGGTGCACACAGCGAGGATCTCCCCGCAGCAAAGAAGGGGAGAGCCGGTTCCACAGGAGCTCTTGGACCGCGTCCTAGCCGCCCATGCCTACTGGTCTCAGCGGCACGCCAAACAGCATGTGAAAGCGGCGGTCTGAGCCCGAGGCTCTGTAACAGAGAACCGGGAAGGAGAAGGGTATGTTGTCTATATGTAAAAATTACGGACAGAAAAATTGACATGTAAACGTGACCTGTTGCAAAATGCTGTCTGAACTTGACCCACAAGATACCAAATCTTTTCGATCCCAATTAAAAAGTGTTGTGAGATCATCCTCGGTAGACATGTCATGTCAAAATTTTATTCGTTAGTGTGGACAATTGAATATACATGCTAAATCTTCTTTCATATATGCATGTGTTGAATATTTATTTTATTAATATATTAGACTCAAGATTACAATAACTATTAAAAAATAATTTTATTTTTCTTCTTATTGGTTGGTGGTGAGACCCCTTGAAAAAATTAAATAAAAGTATTTGACGCCTAAGACCATCTCCAAATGAGATTTCAAATTCTAAGTGAAATACCATATAATCAAATTTGAAGGTTGGAACTTGTCAATCCTATGTGGATTGACATATGAGTTTTCATATGTCAAATTTGATATATAAGTTTTTAGAGAAAATGTGATGTCAAATATTTTTAGTTATTTTATTGTGTGAATCTCATTAACGCACCAATTATAGATCTTAAAATTTTATTTTAATTGATTTTTTTTAAATGGGTTCTATAAATATCATTTATAATAAAAAAACATATTGGTTGGAAAAATAGAAAATCTGACAATGCCACGTTAGTATCAAATTAACATTTAATATTTATCTTTTTGACATATCCATTGAAGATGCTCTATGTTTTGTGCTGTCAAAAAGGACAGGCAAAGGCAATGCAGTGAATCCATGTCAGCTTATATAACATTTTTGGTCAAAAGAAATGTTGCCGTTTTTTGTCCCACACGGCATTTCACGTCACATTTGAATGCTTTGACATGCAAAATAATTTGTTTTCAATTCAATCCATGATTTTTCAAAAGTTTGAGCGTTGTTTGTAGCCACATTTGACTTGTGAGTTATACCTTATTCTTAATCTTGTGACACGAGTCAGATGCTAACTTATCACAATGGATCACCAAATCACATGGAATATGAATCCTATCCTCTCTCTCTCTCTCTCTCTCTCTCTCTCCTCTCTCCCTAATGGTTAGTTTTGCCAAAGCCCCTTGGAACAATATGAACAAAACCATTTTGATACCAGAGTTGAAGAAATAATAGTTATGAGTTATTCCTGCACCTGAAATTGAAGAGATATTCTCGTTACTAATTCATCATGTAACAAGTTTTTATTGAACTAATGGTTCAAATTTTCAACATGTTGTAAGCACTAATTGATCGGGTAACACCATGAATTGATTGCAACTGAAATTATGTGTTGGGTTTCATATTCTCAGTATTAGTGCATTTGAGGTTTTATCCAATTCCTAGTGTCACTGCACTCGTGTTCTTTCTTATCCCAAGTATCAACTGTAAATAAAAAAAGAAATGAAAATGATAGTCACTCTTTTTTTTACACAACTATTCGTTTTTGTGTCCACAAGATTGGATAAATTAAGCAAAACCTAATCAACAAGAGAATCACAACACACTTTATTTAATACATAACTAATATGTAGAAACAGGAACTCTCAGGGTACTGTACTAGATACATATGGTTCACCAATCTATAGAGAGACAAGAAGCATGTGAAGGAATTTCAAATGGTGCATTTCTCATTTGTGGTCCTTATGAAGAACACCACTTAACTGTTGCAAATTCAGCAGCAACTCCTACTTCTATCCAATCATAAATAGACACATGCCCAAATAATTGAAATAGTAACCACACATTGAACACGTGTCCATCTGTGATTGATTAGAAGCAGAAGCGGTTGCCAGATTTGCAGCAACCAAGTAGTATCCCCTTGCGAAGTGCATGTGCTTAACTTGGGATGATCAATTAATTAAGCACTAATTGCAGCTAGAATTATTATTTAAATTGATTATCAGGTAGACAGTTATGTGTGGTCAGCTCTTACTACACTTTTTCTGCTAAAGAAGTATTATGTATTTGATAAAGTACTAATCTTTGGAAAGATCAACCTCTTTGGATCCATTTTGTGGGGATTTTAGAAATCTTCACATTCTAGTTGTTCATCGTACATCGTGTAGCCAATTTTTGTAAGATACTATTTGTGTTTAATTTAAAAAAAGAAAATCAAATGCTTTCTGACCATACGATGCACGATGAACGGCTAAGATGTGTGGATTTCTAAAACCACCACTATTTGAATCCGGATGGGATACAAGTCCAATCTTTTGCATCTCCAAAACACAGTTAAATTTGTGTTTTTCAATGAAATTTTTTTTAGTGTAACAGTCATACTGTTACACGGATGTTATTAGTATTTTAGTATGTATTTACCATACTTAGTACTACAGTCTAGTGATATTCTTCTGCACCTGCACATAAGAGATCTTAAATTCGTATTTTGTGAATGACGAGTTTGATTTCAATTTATTCCCCTCATTCCTTTGTGTAAATATATTTTTGTACAATGTTGCGTCCCAAACGTTATTTTTTTTTCACTAGGTGAGGTGCTAAGGGATATTCCCAAATTAGGTGAGGTGCTGGAGGTTGAAACCGATTCGAAAGGATTGGTTCAAATGCTCAATAAAGAGATCCAAGCTGATGTTTCTATGTAGGTATTTTGGTTGATATTTGGAATATGATGCGGTCATTCTAGTCAGTGAAGTTCATCTTCACCCCTCATTAATGCAATCATGCAGCCTATATGGTGGCGGTGTACATTTTGAAGCATGGCGGGATAATTAGTTGGGATTGATTAGGACCAGAATTTCTGTTTAATATTTTAGCAGAAGAAGAAAATGTTTCCATTTGTATTTGATTATTAATATAATTCTAACTTTCAACAAAAAAATGACAACTTCTATTAACAAATAGATACATGTGTTACACCATAAGTGAATTAGTAACATCCCTTGACAATATGACGTACTGAAACTCTCTTTCTAATAAAAGTAAGACTTACTTGTATTATGAATCCTACGTTTATCAGATAGATAGTTTAAACGTGGTGTCTCTCTTTAGCATCACCCGTTCCGCTTTATCCTCTTGCATTTCCCCTTTTGTTTTCGGGTAACTGCGTGATTGAACAAATCAATGAATGATGAACGTAAACAAATGAAGAAGTGCAAGTTGGTTGTTGGCATAACAAAAATCAAAGACAGTAGAGAGCCACACAAACACACATGTGATCGAAAAACTCATCCTTCTTTTGGTGGCACTTTCAACTTTTTGAAGGATGCCCCCATTCCCACAGACCATGGTCATTTGTCATGCTACTTTCACTTGGTATGCTGTCCAACATTTAAAATGTTTCCGAAATTCAATGTTTCACATTGATTTTTCTTTTCCATATCAAAGAGATCAAAAAGTTGTTGTTGGGTTTTTTTTTTTTTTTTTTTTTTTTTTGTTTTTTTTGTTGACAAACAAAAACGTTAGTGTGTTAATTATGTTGTGAATAATATGTGGATGGTCCACACGAATAGTTTGTAACTATTTATGCACAGTATTTTTACTATTCATTTGTGGAAAATTTGTAAAGTGAATAGTGTTATCGTTGCTTATAAAACGAATGAGGGTATAGAAGCAAGGAGGTGTATGGAAGTGGAAGAGAGAATGGAAATGGAAAAGAGAAAAAGAAGAAGAGGAAGAGAGAAGAGAAGAAGAGAGAAAAGAGAGGAAGAGGAGAGGGGATAATAGAGAGAGAGTTATTTTGTACTCTTATTATTCTAAATTATAATGGAAGCACCACTGCTCCCCCAAGGACGTACTCCAATCACACTGACTGTAGAGGAACCTCGTAAATTTTGTGTCTTGTTTCTTTTATTCCATTGCACACACCATCGCTTTTACAACACGTTACCAGCACGAGATGCTTTCATGTCAGTGGAAAGCATAACGCCATAATTCAGACAAACAAAGGTACAGCAAAACAAGCAAAGGTATGTCCACTTTTTCATCTCTCCCACCGCGCCAGAAGCGCCCCACTAAATTCCGGTGAGAATTGAAATTTACAACGATCTGTAGTCGTCATGAGATAAGAAAACTCGTACCTGACAACTGGTTTCCAGAGATCCAGAAGAATCTCATCATACTTGGAAACCTAGATCGCGTCATTTTCGACGTATCTCGAGAACTCCTATGAATACTCAGTTTTTTGAGATGGTGATGGCAGGACTGACTCCACATAGGCCTCCCTCTCTTGTACCTCCATCAACCTCGATGTCATCTATGTTCCTGTATGGAAGTTCTTGCTTCGCGATGCCATGTTCTCCGGACCATGCAAGGAAAATTGAAGAAAACACGGGGATGGGAAATGGTATTCCTTATCTAGCCTCTCTTATGGAAAAAGTAACAGTCTGTGGGTTTTTGCAGAAAGAAAAAGGGGCAAAAGAAATGGAATGATGCATCAACACATTTTGAAAAAACATAAGACAAAATAATAAAATAAAAGGAAAAATGATGGTGCGTTAGACACCATGTGGAAACCAAGAAAAAAAAAACAAAGGTTTTTTGGATTGTTGCACCATGTGAATGAATAAGAAAAAAAATAATAATAAAAAAAAAGGGTAAAGACTTTTAGATGGTGTTGCACCATCTGAAAGGAAAGAAGAAAATATATATGTATTTATTTATGTGAATGGTGTTGGTTTAAAATTCTTTCACAAGTTCTATTTACTTTAAAGCAATTTATTTATTATGGTCGGTTTTACCGCTTAATGCTTTAAGTTTTTGATTTATGTGAATGGTGTTGAATTAAAGCCCTTGTCACAAGCTTTATTTACTTAAATGCAATTTATTTACTATGGCTGGAATTACCGCCTATTGTTTTAATTTATTTATTGTACTTATCTTTTGTTATGATGAGTATATATAGGACCTGAAGTTCCTTGATCAGATCAGAACCTGCAGTTTCTTGATCCTAATCATATAAAATGATTGGACCCGAAGTTCCATCATACAAAAAGATCGGGCATGAAGTCCCTTGATCCTCAAGATTAGGACATAAAGTTCTTTGATGAGTACAGTAAGTTTGAAGTGACATAGTGCCTCAACTTAATTGTAATACAAGTCATAAGAGTCTCAGTTTACAGACTATTAAATAAGGATCAGAAGTTCTTTATATCCATACTCAAAATAGTTTAGCAGAAATATTTATTAAGCGGATGAAATTGATTACCCGCGCTCTACTCATGAAAACAAAATTGTCAAGTTTTTTACATGGTGACATGTCATGATGCATTATTAGTTTGGTTGGGACCTATCTCCAACCATCAATACTTCTCAATACAACTCGTGTTTGGGAACCAACCAAACATTATACATTTATGAGTTTTTGATTGTGTTATCTATGTGCCTATTGCATTGCCACAATATATTAAAATGAGGCACCAACATAAATTGGAAATTTATGTTGGATTTGATTCATCATCTATCATTCAATGTTTGGAACCCTTGATTAAGGATATGTTTACCGTGTGGTTTGCGGATTGTCATTTTGATAAGACAATTTTCCCACCGTTAGGGGGAGAAAATAACTTCGTTTCAGAAGAACGATGAGAAAATATTATTCCGGAAGAATGATGAGAAAAGACCGTTCCAGAAGAACGAAGAGAATTTGTCTTATTTTGATTCATGAAGCAATCAATATAAAAATGAAGTGAGAATAATTGAATGATGCAACGATATGCAAATCAAATGCCAGATGCATTTAATGATGCAATGAAAATGATGAAATCACATATACTTGCTGTAAATGTGCCTATAAGAATTGATGTCCTTGTTGGACAAAATAATGATGCAGTAAATTATTTATCTGTAGCACGCCTGAAGCATGGCATACCTTCAGACTCAAAAGGTTAAGTCATTTGAAAGAAGAAGAATATGACACTACTGAACTATTGCATTCCCGAAGCATAATTGCAACATGTCGGAAGCATGACAGTCGTTGCATGGATACACGTCCTAGGAAGGACAATCCGTGGACATGGGAATGTTAATGTCTCATGCATGAAGCATGATTGATGTATAGGTTCCAATGACTCAACTCCTGAAGTGGAGATTAAAATCCAAGCTTTATAATGCTCAAGAGGAGGTTATGATCTGCATTATCTAAACTATGACTATCCTGGAAGAGATAGTGTAATGCTCTTGAAGAGGCAATGGATATCCAAAGAAACGAAAAGCTTTTATGCATGCACATGCACATGAGAATATGGGATCACACATTGATGATAACCAATGGTAATTTTGGATTTTACAAGTAGCTACTAAACGTATCAATGAGCTATGTTGATATTGAGTCTCGTTCTTTTTCCGTCAACAAAATTATTGGCCAAAACGGAGAAAGGCAATTCCATTACAATTTTGTAAGAACGTGGAAAAATAAACCTATATACTTGAATGCAATACAAATAGCCAAAGGATGTTAAACCTAGAAGGTTACATATGGGCATTTGTAATACCGTGAAATACATTCACATGATATAACACAAGGTTATAAACAAGTTCATATGAGTGGAGAATTATATACGAAGGGTTACGTGTCGCCCTACATCATATCTCCATAAGTAAATCCCTCAAATATACATGGAAGCAAATTGCTTTGTATAAATTCCAAAGGAAAATGTGTCATGAAGTGTAGAAAATCCCTAAAGGATTTAAATTACTTGAAGTAAACCCCGGAAGGGTAAAGTATAAAATATATACTCAATACCAATGGATGGTATAAATTGCTTTAGTGAGTACTTTCATTATGATATTATTGCAGCATACTAAAATCTCTTGCAAGAGTTGATGATATTAAATTGGGACTCCTGAAGAGTCTAGAAAGATTATAAAGTGTTGAGGGAAATATTGTCTCGAACTGCAGATCGATCAATATGTCAACACGAATCTTATACATGATGCTTCTGATATTAAAGAATCATATGGATTGAAGATTATTAGTTGAATACTCAAATGATTTAGACACTAAGAATGATCATTTATCTTCGTGAGGGTAAAGATAAATTGATATTTGATCTAGAAGTACCAGATCTTAGTGAAGTATATGCTTTATTGTATTTGGCACAATACATTGAATGCAATAAAGCTTATTTATTAATATCTTCGAGAAATTACAGACTTGCACATACACATGAGTTAAAACAAACAAACAGGGTGGAGCCTTTACAAAGGTTGCTCATGTGAAGCCTCAGTACTCGGCAATACCCCATATGGGGAGGCACTAAAGATTGATCATGTGGCACCCCAGTACTTGACAAAACACCAAAAGGATAAGGCATCAATTGCCTTCGAAATCTAGCAACGAACCTCTGGTGATCATTTTAAATCCGATTTTCGGATTCTTGAAGTTGGTCAAGCTTTCTTTTCATGCTCGTTGAGTAATTATTTGCAAGCATGTGTAACACTCTATTTTCGTGCTTGAGCCCTCTGATCTCTTGTTTAAGACTTGCCACCTCAGCCATTAATGATTTAACTTGGTGAGTTTGAGCAAGTAGGCGTTGGCCCATATTGGATACAGAGCCCGCACGTTGAACACTAAGAGCCAAAGAGTCTTGAACGGCTGACTCATCAGACTGTTTTGAAAGGATTCTGCTATCATTTAGAGTGAGAAGATTCCTAGCTACCATAGTAGCGGTTATGTTATTCTTCATCACATAGTCCCCAACCGTAAGAAGACCATTAGAAGATAAGAAGGACGGGCATCATATATTATCCTGACGATGTTCGTCTGTATCACTCCTAAGACTCGAATCTAAGCAAATATTAGATGGGCAAGCCATTTTTAGAAATGATGAAGGAAAAATGAGGTCAAATAAAATCTCGGAAGTGCAAGAAAGGGAAAATTTCAACAGGCAGCAACTTTCTGAGCATACTCTTGAACACAATTGATGTCTCTATAAAAGAAGAGGCAACATAGCCACTTGTTCAGAGATCGAAGATGCATCGCCCTCCGAATTTCAAAAGCCAGATTTTCCTAAATAAAGTTCTTGGCATTTTTCAGACGCAATCTTAGCTTTTTCGGATATCTTGTGCAACTTTGTTAAGGATCTCTGACAAAGTTGAAAACGCGTAAATCTTATTGTTCTAATTGCACCATAGTTGATGACAAGAGTAAAGGCACAACACCACTACTTGCTATTGAAAAATCTTTATATATGTCGACCTTCGTTCTCCATAGCAAGGCAGACTTGTAAGAATACTTAACTCTTCCTTATCTCCGAGAATGCATTATTAACAAAGCATCTCGAAGTACCCAATTTTCTTATTCTCTGAGAATACCTTTTCAAACCAGTCACACCAGAGCAAGATTATCTCATATCATCAGGGACGAGAGCAAGAATATCTTATATCATGCAATCTTCTTGCCCTTTCCTTTGTCTTTGTTCTTACCTGCAAAGACAAGGATAAAGAAAGCAATATGTCGGAACCTCCACTCAAACTTTCGGTAAGGAACCAACTGCTTGGAACCTTTCCTGATTGCTTACCTAGAATTGCTCTTGAGTACTCATCTTCAATTGTTGATGGAGCTGGGTCTCAAGTCATCAACATCGCAGAATAATTGGCTCATTGTTGACTTTTTACACTGAAGTTGCCACGCATGGATAAGTCACCTGCAAGGTTTGCATTCCACTTTTGCAAGGGGAACAAATAAGGCAAGTGAAAATGATACATTGAAACATGTGGAGACAAGCACAACAAAACACGTGCCAGTTCATCCCCGACAAAGCCTAAGATCACTTGTCACATGAAGCTCCTCATGGTCCAATTTCATTCAAGATCAAGCCTAGACGACCTTTCAAGAAATCATAAATCCGATTCAAGATCAAGTATCCACCACCCTTGAATCAAATTCAGCTCCAAATAAAAGTATTAAATTCAGACCTTTGGAGGAAGTCTAGCAGAAGGTTCTCCAACCCAGTTCAAGAACAAGCCTGTGGAAAGTTAACAAGAAGTAAAGCATATTTTTTCGACAACTCTTCTCGCTAAGAGACTGAAGCAGAATGATCAATGATCAGCCTAAATGATTTGAAATTAGGGGGAGATACTCATCAGAGGGAGCATCCAAAACAGATCAAGATTTTAACGAGTCAATCGAAGACTTGTGGCCATCCAAGGGGAAGTGTTGTGAATAATATGTGGATGGCCCATATGAATAGTTTGTAACTATTTATGTACAGTATTTTCACTATTCATTTGTGGAAAATTTGTAAAGTGAATAGTGTTATCTTTGCTTATAAAACGAATGAGGGTATAGAAGCAAGGAGGCGCACGGAAGTGGAAGAGAGAACAGAAGTGGAAGAGAGAACGGAAGTGGAAGAGGGAACAGAAAATGATAGAGAGAAATTCCGTGGAAGAGGGAACAGAAAAGGATAGAGAGAAAAGACAAGAAGAGGAAGAGAGAAAAGAGAGGAAGAGGAAGAGAGAAAAGAGAGGAAGAGGAGAGGGGATAATAGAGGGAGAGTTATTTTGTACTCTTATTATTCTAAATTATAATGGAAGCACCACTGCTACCCCGAGGACGTACTCCAGTTACACTGACTGTAGAGGAACCTCGTAAATTTTGTGTTTTGTTTCTTTTATTCCACTGCACACACCATCGATTTTACAACAAATTATTAGTTGTTAATAGAAAAAGAAATTTGTGAGAATCAAACTTGCACACATAATTCTTTTCCGGCAAAGAGCCATGTGCAAGGGATAAAAAGTTATAATGATAATGACACCCTTATAGTCAAGATTCTAAAAGTAAAATTTTGTTGTCACTTAGTATAGTTAGCCCACTCTATTTATTAAGAGAACAGCTGGCTCCTTAAAAGTGAGGAAGAGTTCTTTACTCAAGATG